CAATGTGGGCTCTGAACTCGATGTCGACACGATTATGATCCAGACCTTTTGTGTAGATTCCGCTGTCAGTGCAGATCTTCTTGATTGTCTTATCGGTGGCAGTCTTCGAGCCCTTTTTAACGAAGTTACAGAAGCTCAGATATGAGGTTTGCAGGTCACTTGCCTCGTTGGCATCCATTCTTTCGGCTATCGGGTTGGGAAATGGGTTGTCGAATAATCACTTGAACAGTAATCCGCTTTTGACAATTTACTTTTCACACAATTCCGGGGTTCACCTGAAGCCGGACGGCGCCCAATTATGCCGAGTCTGGGGACTATCTGGTCACAGAAACTCGGTCCCACTTCGTACGGTCTGCTCGTGCCCTGATTTGGGCCAATCCAATTGCCGGTACATCTGCCCGTTTGCCCTACAGCCTCTCTTCTTTCTCCCTCCGTCTCCATCGGCCGCAGCAGTTCGTCTCTTCTCTTCCCATCAACCTGCTATTGGCTCGATCGTCTGTATGAATGACCATTTCGGTCGGCATTGATCGGACGACTTGTGCCTTTGCATAACTAGACCGTCTGTGAGAATGTGTGATTGAATGATTGAATGATTAGATGAGTAAGTTAGGGTGTTAATGTAAATGGGGACAGACGAGGTGTGTCTGAAGGCATCACTTGCCTCCATTACTCTACGAGGCGCTGAGCGGAGACAGTCGCTGGCTCGGACAAGCGAAGGCGGTAGTCGAGGCGTCTGGCCGGACGACCAGCGGCCGATCTGCCCTTGTGAGGACACAGACACACACAATCTGTCCAGCATAGAGGAGGTGACGTCTCGAGATATTGTTGTCACGGCCAGTGGGTACCGGACAGTGGCCCGATTTAGACTGTTCAGGCGGCTGCGTCATGTAGACCTCATTCATGCCGTTTCGGGCATATTCGACAAAGGGGCCATGGAGCGAAAACTGGTACCCGACGGGACTACGGGCAACAGAGTCTGCAACCGGAGCTGAGGCTAGACTGCAAGTTCTGTACATTGCTACCAGCTCTTAACTCTGCGTGACCTGTACTCACTTTGGCTCACGTGGTTGGCTGGAGCTTGTAGGCCTGCGAGATCTGTCCTCGGGAGACATGTCGCGAGGGAAGATTCGATTGGCCCACGACTACTCGACTCCCACGACAGGAATGAGGTCAACTTCAGCTATGCCCCATTCAGTCTGGCAGCCTGAACTCGAATGTCAACAAGAACTTGTCTGACATTTTTTGTGCTCTCACAAAGTGAGTCTTCCAATCTCACAAAGCACGAAACACATGCTAGAATTGTAGTCGCCAACTTGATGTATGGACAGATACTCAATTCCCCTTGGGCATTGAACTTCGCTCTAATTTGCTTCTCAAAAGATTTTCTCATCTGTCTTTTCGACCCTGCACGGATACCATCCGCTGACAATATTTGACGACTCCACATTGCAGAAACGGATGCCAGTAGGTCACTGAGAAAAGGGAACCTTTGAAGCAAGTCGAATTACACTTTAATTGGGACTGTTGACGAGGCCAATTTTCATTTCTTCATTACCGTCGAGAAAATTACTGAATACTTGATCAATGTTATTTCGAACATTTAGTATATAATATACTATATAGTATTAGCATTACATAAATGATAGTATCATACTATCATATATATATATATACTATTAATAGTACTATGATTAATACCAATAATGAGCCACGAATGTGAATGACTCATAGGACAGATATGACTTTCAATGCAAGCCAGGCCTCATCCAATTCATATTTTTATAATGGAACTGGTGATTAGCCAAACTTTAAAAAAAATATATAACTATATACTAATATACTAACATATGGATAAGATTCGTACATTATACCTAGTAATATATATATATATATATCATTTACTACACATTAATGTCAAATTACAAATATACGTCTGCATCATCGGCAATTTCACTATAAAAGTATGATCAAGTCACCTATGTCCTATTACATAATCACACCTGTTGTCTATTGGCGGATTGGTACATTGTTGCCAGTAGAACGCCCTCGATATAGTTTCTAGTCCTGTTGTGGGGGCCGATGAAATATCATCGAGGTTAAAAGTGAACTTGTTCGTGGATGAGAATACCTTTTGGTAGAGAAAGGCCAATCGAAATTAAATGAATTCGTGATGCCTATTTAACATACAAGTGGCCTAAGTTGACACTAAATGTACTGATGATTTCCAAAATATAATTAATCTAAAATATAACTACTGAATGATGGTCTCACCGGAAATCGGAGGGTGATCGGAATGAAGTTGGTTTACTTTTCGAATTGAGCGTAGAAGTTCTTGGCGGGGCTTCCGCAAACCACAAGTAATCTGTGCTCAGTTTTTGCTTGTCATGGCGGAGCGGGCATCATACGAAAACTATTACACCTAATTCCGCACTCGCCAGCCTACATACGTTTTTCATCAAAGATGTAGACTAAATGGAATACCCACAAGCATGGTATGAATGATGGGCAGTGTCAACGGATTCTCCAAAGCATATGCACCACGAAAAGTAGTTTAGTGGGTTAAGACAGTTAATGAATTAATAAAAATACTCGAAAAATTAATTTCGAAGGTGGTGAATGATTTGTTCAGTTGTATTTAATGTATTTCAATGCGTGTGTATGTGTGTGTATGTGTTCGGTTAAGAAGCAGTGACAAATCCATTTGGATACATAAAATATGTGACCATTAAGAGGACGCATCGGAAACCAGTTCAATTTCGCATGTGAACTCACTCTTCTGCCGATACAATTGCCCACAGTTCCCGGGCGTGGTAGCCAAATGGAGCCGGCCAATTGAACACGCTTTAGAAATCTACCGTCTATCGATAGAGCTGCCAATCTGGCAAAGTTTGCAAGCAACCAGCGAGAATATGACAATCTACAGCATAGGCCTGATTTGTAGAAAAGTTGATTTGTGTGAACAATTGAATAGTAAAAGTGACACTGTTAAATGTATGGATAGGATAAACACTGGAACATACTGCCAAGGTTGCAAAAATGTACCGAAGGGTGTTGTTTAGGCAATGATAATTCTAGCGAAAAGTACAGAAGTGTGTACTAGGCATGATAGCCTCCTCATCAGAGTGGACGTTTTATCGTTTTCATTTCACCTTTCCTTTACGTTCTCATTCCACAGTCATTTGGAGTAACTTGCTCAACGTCTCTTTCATCAAAGAAAATTATCGGCCTCTTGGAAATGAGATGGGTGCAGAAAGTGGGAGATCATCCACTTCATCCGAGGGTGTCTTGGTCTACTTCACAATCTTCGGTCTCCAGATCGACAGCCGAGACGCTGGGTGTAACTGATGGCTGATGTCAGCAGGCGAAGAAAAGTTGGGTTTCGAGGAATCTCTTGTTTCATAATTGTTGAGCTTACTTCCATTTCGAGTGAA